GACTGTAATCAGTCTTGAATCCTAATAGGTTTTAGGTTTACAAAACAGAAGAAAAATGAGAGAAAGGAGAAGGAATAGAAGAGAAACAGAAGAACACAAGGGGTTGAAAGGAGGGACAGATTCTAACAGATCTGCCGCCGCCACTCTCTTATTATTTATAGGTTATGTTCAGTACATAATGGAAAGGACACATTTGCCCTTAGTACTTACATGATAAATAAAGTAAATAAAACTGAAATAAATAACAACTGAATTAACAAACTGACTCAAAACTGACACTACTATAACTGAAACAAATAACTACACATGCTGTCCTACGAATACAGTGGGGACCACTACAGTGGGGCCCACATCAGTGTTCTCTACAATTCTTATGCAGCCGGCCATGTCAAACTATCATAAGATTTCCTAGGTTCGCTCTGATACCATGTAGTCGTATGAGACTACTAACAGCCAAAGCTGTGGTGTATAATCAACAAGAAATTAAGAAGATGAGAGGAGAGAATGAGAGGAGAAAGAGAAAAGAAGAGAAGAAGATTTCGAAGGAAGGATTTCAGAAAAGAAGAGGATGCTTAATCTGCCGCCCCCCTCTTTCTATTTATATTAATTCTGAAGTAAGGATAAGACTGCTTACATGGCAAAATTAAAATCCTAATAAAAGGCTAACAACTAATTGTGGACTGACACTTAAATAACTAGTAGTTGTATACGAGTACAATAGAAAGAGGTGGGGACCACATCAGTGGTTTCTACGTGTTCCATAAAATTCTTCCTCTTTTGCTCAAACCTTCCAATCTCCACCCCTTTAATAATTCCTCAATTGAGTTAATATTGCATCAATCAGAAAGACTTCTTTAAGTTCTTCACTCTGATCATGAACCTTAACAACTACAATAAGAGGGGCATCATTTACATGTACCAAGCAACTTAAAGACAAGCAATACAGTGCACCAGCATGAGCATGGAAGTTAATTTTCTATTTTCATGTATAGACAAACAAAAAGTATTTTCTTAAAGATCCAGTGGGAATTGGAAACTCTACAAGGGCTGAGATACTAGCTGTTGTACAAGGATTACAAATTGCCAACCAACTTGGAGTGGAGAATTTGAAAGTTGAGGGACATTCTAAGGTGGTAGTGAATAGGTTGTTTGATTCGGATACAGTTATTCAGGGCTACATGGATCTTCTTAAAAAAATAAATAAATGGCTATGGCTTACAAGGAATATGTCAGTCAGGTTTCAGTGGGTTAGCAGATCGGCAAATGCCTTGACAGATTCTTTGGCTAAACAAGGGACTTCTTGGGTTTCTTTGTATTGGACTACCTTATAATTGGATTCCGATAAGAGTTTGGTTTGATCTCTTTCCCAAGAGGAGGTAACATCTTGTGCCTCTTTTTACAGAGATTGTACACTTTCTTACTTTAATTAATAAAACCACCATTCAGTCATCCAAAAAGAAAGATCAAGGGGAACAAAGAAGACAAAAGGATTACCAAAAATGAGGAGATGGAAGTTTAAATCTAGTTAGACTAACTTACAATTTTAGGCCCATTAGAACATTCCAATTTGCTTTTATACAACATTTTAAGATGCAAACATGATTGGCCTGAATTACAATGATAAAAGAGACAGGAACCAGTTAAAAACTGAGCCATCAACTCAAATGGCTCAAGATGCAAAATATATATATATATATATAAACTACAAACACTAACCACTCACAGCCAGATTTTACATAGTAAAATGACAACAATAGCCCTAAACATAAAAAAGCACACAAAAATAAATAATAAATCAGAAAAATCAGCTGCAGCCACCAAACATTCAGAAACAAATGAATCAACAACCCACAAGTATATTAAACAGACTATGCAAATGAAACCAAACTTATACTCACTTCTGAGGATAGTCCTTCACTAAATTGCATGCCATGAGATAAAGCTCATTTGAATGGCCAAGCTCCATCGCTGCTGCTAAATGCACCAAAGTGCATTTCAAATGGAATGGATCTCTCTCAAGTAGTCTAAAATAAACATGGAGAGAAAAAAATATATATACATTAGTTAGAATCATACATAGTACATCAAGTACAAAATCTAGTTGCACTCTGTTCCCAATTCCTTTCCAACTTACACAGAAGTTAAGTCAAAGCATTTCTGATATTCTCCACACTGATGATAATATTCCGCTTTGCATGCCAGCAGATCAGTGTTGTTTTTCAATGTGTTTGTAAAGGAGGGATCTGAAGAATTAATGCCACAATTTCCTTTCTCCAGTTCTGTGAATTTTGCTTCAACAACATTTTCTTTGTCGTACTGGATGATAGATAGTTGAAAAGTAAACAAAGTGTTGATTAATAGGTCATCATAATGACAACAAACTGAAAATATGGAAGAGTCTAGTGTAAACTATGAACTGATTAAAGGGGCACAAATGTCGATGGTCATTCACATTTTTTGCTTGAAAATGGATACATTTTTAAGTTGTCTGAGTTTTTACCTTCTTTATTAGACATGAATAAAATGATGAGAGCCATCCATCTTCAGGACCAAATTGCAACGATGACAGGAGACTGGTTTCTAAAATATATTAACATAAAACTAAAATATGTTAAATATTCAATCTTCCAGACAACCAAAAAAAATTGAAGGACTGCATACTAAAAGAGAGCAAGTAGGTTCTGTAGAATAGACGGAATGCATGCTCAACAATTTAAAAGACATTCCCAAGGATATGAGAGAAAATATCTAAGTTACAACTTGGAAGGAAGTACCCATGGGAAAGAAGACTTAGAAATTCCTAATTTTTACATGGACAAGCTCACATGCATAAATGAATATGAAGGAAACTTCAAAAAAAAAAAAAAAGTGAATTCTAAAAGCCTCTTACCTTCTTCACAAGTTAGCATGTGATTGTCAATAAGACATTCCAAAGCCTACAAAATGTTGAGAGACATAACCATTACACAAATTACAAAAAATGAATATTTTGAAAAAGAAGAAAGAATGTAAAATGCCATATTATTGGTTACATGACAATAATAACCTAAAAATAGAAAACTAAGGGTGTGAAATGTATGGGAGAGTTGGGAGGGTTTCTTTGTATGGTGACCGTTATCTACCCAAATTCTTTTTCTTCTCTATCCCCCATGCAAAACCTCCTTTCCTGCCATATAATATATAATAATTTTCTTTTCTTATAAAATGGAAGAGCACATTTAATAAAATTCAGGTATATGTAATGGGTTTTAGGAAGTCTAGTTACAGTAAATTCATTGGCTTCAGTTTACAAACATTTTTTAAAAGATATAAATAAAGAAAAAAGATTATGTTCCTACTATTTTTTACTAAAAGTTTGTACCTCATAGCATAATGGATCAGCTTTGATTGCAGCCTTGTACCTTGAAGCACCACAAAGGAGGTGAATGTATGATCTCTTCCAACCAATATACAGTTCAGTTTAAAAGAAACAATTAAAAATGAATGCATTATTTAGAAAAAAAAAATGAAAAGAAAAACAAATTTGAAAAACAAGGATGACCACATGTCTTAAACCAAAATGGTGCCACTAAATGATCATCAGACCTCAAAAGCTGATATAAATTTAGAACAAACAATAATAGCTCACCATTGCCGAGCCTGAGCACGGTTTTCTAGAGCCTCATATGCCTTTCCTCGTAGAAAGCATATTGCCGAAGTAATCTGCCACAGGATATAAGAAAGAAAGTCTCATATTTAAAACCTAGACATGGCAACAAAGTTATGAATTAATATTAACTTCATCATATGACAAAATTGTACTACGACCAAAAATTCACCTACCAAAAAAAAGGTTGTTTGCAAAAGACGATACATCCAGCACGCATAGTACAAATGTACAATGGGAATTCATAGGAGATGATAGAAAACAGAAAATTGTACAAAAGACACCCCTACATAAATAAACAAGGAGACAGGAAGAGATAATCCCTCACAACACCATCTCCAGCCAGACCAGCAGCAATTTAATTGGATGATCTTGAAACCCATGGAGAAACAGATTCATTCTGTCAATTCTTTCTTTCCTTTCTTTCTTTTTATTGATAATTTTCAGATTTTATTAGAAGGATTAAATAATATGGTATGGTACAAGGACAATGTGCCATGCACCCCTAGTCGGCTAGTCATACATAGACTTGCCTTTGCTGCCAACCCCAAAGATTCCAACATTTTGACTTGCATACAATCAAAATCCAGATATTTTTCAACAAAATCATGATTAATAGAGCCCGGATCTGCTACTAAAAAACAAGGTTGTTAACATCAAAGTTTTGTGCCGCCTGTTCTCAACACATAAGACATGCACTTGTGCCCTTAAAATCTCCCATGTGTTGAGAATAGGTGACATAAAACTGTAATATTAGCAGCTTTATTTGTTGCAACATATATGAACTGTTATTAATAACCTCCCAATGCAGCTGGTTTCCAGTAAACCCTGTTTTGCTAGTACATTAGCCAAATTATTTTATTAGTGGATGATCTTTGTACTCATGTGGAAGTTGCACTTAGTTATTTAGCCAGCTACCTCACTTCCTTCAATGAGCTCCTTTGATGCGCCCACCCTTAATTACTTAACCAGTTATCTCACTTCCTTTATTGAGTTCCTATGATGCCAAGCTCCAAGACCATCCTTTTATAGCCAGCCAGTAATTACTCTAGAATCCCCTTCCACCAAAATGTCTTTGTAGTTCAATTGTTTCCCTAGCCTTGGAGAATTTATAGTAATGCTGCACTTGTTGAGTTCCCCAAGTGATAGGACTTGGGAATATGACCAAAATTTTGCCATGATTGTTCCTCAGTACTCCACCAATTCAAATTAGTGTACACTTAGGATTAAAGACTAAGAGGCAACTGAAAGTGACCACATTCATTATCTTGGTTCAAAATTCAAAACAAATGAGAGACCGAGGAGGATGACACCAAAGGAATTAGCAGGATGGGCAACATGTAGGGGTGCATCCGAAGTCTTATGTTATAGTTGATAGGTGAATAGCACTCAGGCTAAAAAGAATATTCTACAAAATGGTAGGGGTGCTCACGGTTCGGTTAACCGAACTGTGGGGCTTTTTTTGGAACCGAACCGGTACTACCGATTAATTTTTTTATCAATAACTCTGAAAATTTTCATTAATTAAGATGCTTAATATACAACAAGAAGTTACAAAGAAATCAGCATAGAAGCTGACCCAAGACAGAATTACAAATGTGCCCAAAACATATATGTTCTTTGAACCCCTTGCTTTGCTAAGCTATCAGCCAAGTTGTTGGCCGATCTCCTAACCCAACCCACCTGAATAGACATATTTCTTGACATCCATTTGAACCTTCTGAAATCATTCTTCAGCTGCAAGGTCACTCCTTCCCCTTTTTGCAACCATTTTATCATAGCTTTTGAGTCTCCCTGGATGATCAGTCTATTAATCCCCAGCACTTTGGCCTTCTCAACCCCATATACTGCAGCTAGAAACTCTGCCCTAGCTACATCACCCTCCTCCACAGGACTGGAGAACAAAGCAATAATGGAACCATTTTCATTTCTAATGCCCCCCCAATACCTGAAGGGCCTGGGATACCCACACAACTCCCATCGAAATTCAGCTTCATCCAACCCTCTGTTGGAGGGGACCAGGTCTCACAAACATGTCGTCTCATAGTTGATGAAGCAGCAATAAGTCCCCAAACCCTGAAGAAGTCTTCAACTTTAAAATCTGAGAACCGCTTTAAACCTTTTGCCCAATGTGCCACCTTCAATGTTATTGTTTCCACTAGAGCCTCCTTGCATTTTTCCTTACTTTCAAATACTCTATCATTTCTTTCCTCCCAAATGGTCCAAAGTATTGCTGCTCTAGTGCACCTCCAGAGAACCCTTCCCCTCCTTGTCTTACCACTGCAACCATTAGGGTTGAATAAACCTTCCAACCGGTCAGGAAAAGACCACTTGCACCCAAAAAGGGAAGTAAACCAATTCCAAATAAAGCTGACAAAAGAGCATGATAAAAAAAGGTGGATAGCAGTCTCACCATTCAACTTTACACAGGGCACACCAGTTAGGGGACAAGCACCAATTTGACCTTTTCCTTTAAAGTACATCAAAGGTATTAATACAACCATGTCCCAACAAAAAGCACTGATTTTAGGGGGAATAGAATGGCACCAAATTTCTTTGACTGGAAACTGAAGAGAAGACTGTGTAGCAACCATCAAATGAAGAAAGGATTTACAAGAAAAAGATCCATCAGAATTAGGACCCCAAATTCTAAAATCTGGCCCACCTTCCCCCAAGAAAACTGAATTCATAAATCCTAACAACTCAGAGACTGCAAGCAGTTCAGACTCTCTAAGATTCCTATTAAAACCAAGGTTCTAATTCAATCCTGGAACTCTGGAAGGTGAGAATGATGGTTTAGGGAATCAGAAATAAGCTTACCCTTGAACCTAGACAGATCACAAAGAGAAGGAAATTTCTCCCCTGAAGGAGTATCCCCAATCCACAAATCCTCCCAGAATCTGATTTTACTACCCGAATACAAATCATACCTGATAAAATTAAGGAACATAGGGAGGACATCATGGATGGCCTTCCAAGGAGCAGCCAAGTTAGCCCTACGTAGACAACCAGCATCCCATCCGTTGCACTTGCATGACATGCCATGAATGCTTGCAACCACTTTGTGCCATAATTTCTCATTTTCATTTGGAAACCTCCAAAGCCATTTGCCCAGTAAAGCCTGATTCTTCATTCTAACATTACCAATTCCCAAATCCTCTTCCTCTTTCAGTTTACTCACCTTCTCCCATCTAACCAAATGATCCTTTTTTTTTCCCCTAGCTACCATAGAAATTCCCTCATGATTTTTTCAACTTTCCTCACTATCCTTTGTGGCATCCTAAATACTGGCATATGGTACATTGGGAGATTTGCTAGAGTGGATTTAATTAGGGTTGTCCCCCCCCCAATGAAATATAATTTCTTTTCCACGCCGCCAATTGTTTCTCTATCATTTCCACCACCGGAGACCAAAATCTAGCAAATCTAGGATTATCTGGTAAACCCAAGTATTTCATTGGCCACTCACCTTTCTAACAACCTAGAGAACTTGCTAGAAATCTCACTTCATCTTCTTCAATGTTGACTCCAACCAGTAAGCTCTTTGACCAATTAATCCTCAAATTAGACATCTTCTCAAAGAGATTCACAACCACCCTCAAATTTCCACTCCCTCGCTACTCCCTCAATCACAGAAAATAAGAATGTCATCTACAAACTGTAAATGAGTTACTAAAACATTGTCCCTCCCCACTGACCATCCCCTAAATAACTGCACACCATTTGCTCTTGAAATCAATTTACTTAATGCTTCAGCAATCAGGGTAAAAAGAAAAGGAGAGAGGGGGTCACCCTGCCGAAGCCCACGGAATCCTTCAAAGAAATCATACACTATCCCATTAACTATAACTGAAAATGACAAGTTAGCAGGCATCCCATGATCCATTTAAACCACAAGTTTCCAAACACACATCTCCTCATAATTTCAATCAAGAATTTTCAATCCACTAAGTCATGAGCTTTTTCCAGATCCAACTTGATAGCCACTCCCTTCCTCTTTGATCTTTTATGAGCCTCCACACATTCGTTTGCAATTAATATTTGGTCAATAATCTGTCTATCCTGCACAAAGGCCCCTTGAGATTAAGAAACTAAATGGGGAGATCACCTTTTTAATCCTCAGAGGCAGCACCTTTACAATCACCTTGTAAATATTGATGACCAAACTTATTGGTCTGAAATCCCCTGGTTGGTTGGCATTATTCTTTTTTGGGATCAGAGCTAAAAAAGTAGAATTCATTCCCGGACTTACCACCCCTCTCCTGTAGAATTCATTAAACACCCTAACCAAGTCTCCTTTAATTATCTCCCAACAATCTTGATAGAAAGCCATTGTGTAACCGTCGGGACTTGGAGATTTTGATCTATCCATAGAAAAAACTGCCTCCTGAATCTCTCCCTCTTCAAACCTTTTTTCCAAAAATTGGACTTGATTCTCATCCAGAGTCTCCCAATCAAAGCCTTCAATCCTCCACCTCTCACTTAGGGGTCTTCTATAAATTGACCTAAAATACTCTGCAAAAGTTTTAGCAATCTCATCTTGATTCGTGATCTCATTTTCCCCCACCACTAAAGAGTTAATCATGCACTTCCTTCTCCTTCCGTTTACAATAGTATGGAAAAATTTTGTATTTCCGTCACCTTCTTTGATCCATCTTTCTCTTTACTTTTGCTTCCAACAAATTTCCTCTCAATAAGGTCTCCCCTAGTTCTTTCCTCAAATTCCACCTCAAGTCCTTATCACCAACATCTAAAATTCCTTCCACCTCTTTGCTATCTATTGCCTCTATCTGAGAAATCAACTCCACCTTCTTCTACTCCAATCTCCCAAACTTCACCCTATTCCATTTCTTGATCTCCTTTTTCAACAATTGAAGCTTCTTAAGGAACTTCTGGCCTTCCCACATTGTAGGTGTTACCAAACTATTCCACCAAGCCTTGACTTTCTCTTTAAAATCCGGGTGAGTGAGCCACATATTTTCAAATCTGAAAGGGATTGGGCCACCATCACTTGTTCTCTCAAACAAACAAATGGACCAAAGGTCTGAGGTGACCC